CATATTAAAGGCATCTACTCACCGATTAATATCTTTGTGCCCATTTGTTGTTTTCCTGAAGTGTCAGTTGCTCGATCAACTTGATAAACAATGATGAAATGGTTGGCTTGGTAGGTGAGGGGGGAGCAGTGGACACCTTCTACCCTGACTTCAGTAAGGCCTTTGAAACTGTCTCCTGTAAGATCCTCATAGAGAAGCCAATGGAAGTATGGGCTGGGTGAGGAAACAGTGGGGTGGACTGAAAACAGGCTGAAGATCTGGGCCCAGGTCATGGTGATCATGGCACAAAGTCTAGCTGGAGGTCAGTAACTAGTAGTGTATCCTGGGGGTCAGTACTGGGTCTAATCCTCTTTAGCATCTTCACTGGTGATCTGGATGATGAGGCGGAGTGTATCCTCAGCAAGTTTGCTGATGACACAAAACTGGAAGGAGTGGCTGATACACCAGAGGGTCGTGCTGCCATCCAGAGGACTTTGACAGGCTGGAGAAACAGGCTGGCAGGAACCTCATGGCATTCATGAGGAGAACTGCAGGTTCCTGCACCTGGGAAGGAATAATCTAGGGAATAGTCTAGAGAAGAGTCACAAAGATGGTTAAGGGACTGAAGCATCTCTTCTATGAGGAAACGCTGAGAGTTGGGGCTGTTTAGCCTGGATAAGAGAAGGCTTTGGGGGACCTTGTCAATGTATATAAATATCTGAGGGGAGAGTGAAAAGAAGATGGAGCCAGGATCTTCTCAGTGGTGCCCAGCAACAGGATCAGAGGCAATGGACACAAACTGAAATAGAGGAGGCTCCCTCTGACATCAGGAAATACTTTTTTACTGTGAGGGTGACTAAGGACTGGCCCAGCTACTCAGAGAGTTCGTGCTGTTGAGTATCTTCATCCTTGGAGACAGCCAAACGCTGTCTGGGCATGGTCCTGGGCTGCTGGTGCAGGAAACACTGCTTGAGCAGAGGGGCTGGACCAGATGACCTCCAGAGCTCCCTTCCAACCTCAACCACTCCGTGATTCTGTGAAAGGGAAGAAAGTGGAATGCTTGAGGAGGAATATAGGAAATACCCGTTAAGATGCTGGAAAATAGCAGCATGATGAACATTTCAACCTAGGGGACATCAGGCTGCCAGAGCCTCAGTGTCCTAGAAGTCAGGCTGGTGAGAGCAGTCTAGCCAGAGGTCACAAAAGCAGTAGAGGAAAGTAGCAGATGGCCACGGAGGAGCACACACAGGCTGCTTCCAGGTTACCTGCCATCAAATCATGAACGCTGCACACAGTGCGAGCTGTGTATCTCGATCCATTCTGGCTCAAGGGATAGTTTCTTATGGAAGCACACTCATACATCCAACCCTTTTCCACACTGCCTCAAGCTCCGAAGAGCCCAGGGAGACTTCTCACAGCTCTCTGCCTCTTCCATCTAAGGATGGCTGGAGCCTGGGTAGCAAGATGAAGTTGCCTGTCTGCCAGCCAGGGGAACACAGGCATGCCTAGCCTCAACCAGGCCTTACCCAGAGCCAGCAATGCTCAGCAGGTTGCTGCTTTACATCATCCAGCCAGCGGTTGCCACAGTAACTGCACTCACAGATGAAGGATGTGAGGTTCCCGGGGTAATGGAATGACTGGCACCCGCCTGGGTGTTGTCTGTATTGCACAGCAGCAAAGGCAGATGCTGTTCTCTGAACGTGAGAAAATAAACACCCTTCCCTATGCTACACCAAGCTGGGCTTCCCTCCTGCTCCCCCCTCACATGTACTGCTGCAGCTCCCATCTCCCCAGCCCTGTGCTCCCTGGCAACTGCACTGCTTCCTTGCAACACTCAACCCAAGAAGAAAAACTGCTTCAGACAACAAGAAATCAGCCTACCCAGGCAGGAGGCATCACTTCAGTTTTAACAGCAGATGTGCTCTGCAACCCCATCGGACCCACCACAGAGGAAACCGAGACCTGACCCCATGAGGATCACAGACCCCTTAGTGTCAGTGGTTGAATGGATGTCTGAAGGGCTTGGATGGAGAACTCGCTGTCCCTCAGGAGCCCTTACAGTCTAGTTTTCTAGCAAGATCTGCTCACACACACCTTTGTTACGTGCAGGGGCAACAATAGCAGAGGGAAGCCACGCAGAACCGAAGCCTGGCAGGCCTGATGGATCCCTACAGTACTGCTCTTATCCCCATTCAAAGCAAGAACAGCCCATGGCTAGGGGCAGCACTTCTCCCTCTGCTTCCATTGCTGCAAAGCGGAAGCATTTACAGGACACAGGTCACCCCTACCTGGTGCCCTCAGCTATGTGAAGAACCAAGGGAAGACCAAGTGAAGCCTATTCTCCTTCTGCTCCAAGTCCACCTCTGCTTCATAGCAAAGTCCTCGGGAGAGGTGCACTGGAGGAAAAGATGTCCCATGCTCACAAGAGAGAGGGACCAACATTACCTCTGCTGAGTTCTATTTTCAGCAGCAGTCACATGAAAAAGAAAACCTACTTGGCCGGCTCACCATTTGGGATCCAAAGGATGAACTCCAAATTCTCTTTGGAGAGAGCCTGAACTTTGGAGAGGCTGTAATACTCCAATTAGCTTCTGTTTCTGGTGTGCCAGCCTGGGAGACCACAGCCTCCAACCTCCTGTCTGCTGGCTGGGAGAGCTGGAAATGACGGAGAAGTCACCCTCCAGCACCCTAGAAAAAAGGGGCAATCTCCCGGGGATGCTCTTGCTGTGCACTGTCTGCTCTCTGCACACACACGACCAACACAGCCTGTGCAATTTGCGGCCGTCCTGAGCATTCCCAGCTGTGGCCACAAGTCACAACAGCAGTGCTCTTGAGTTTCAGCCTGATACGAGAACTGAGAACTCTGAAAAACAAATCAGGGTCTGGGTATCTCTAGTTAGGCAGCCAGAGTTAGCGGATACATTAGGTCTCAATCTGGCTCTGCCTGAGGATGCAAGTATTGGTCAGACACTCATTAAAGGAGTACCAGTACTCCGGTTGTCTAATTTGAGACAGGACAGACAGACAGGAGAGAAAGACGCCATGAAGGGACTGATTAAGATGAAGGGCAGTCTTCCAAGAGCTTTTTTGGGTCAGCTTTTGTTTTAGAGGGCTGTTTCCTAAGTTACTGGGGAAGGGGAGAAGACTCTCAGTAGCTGGCAATGTCCTAGGGCCAGTAAATTGCATCTAATTCTGCCACGTGAGCTGACATGGCACTAATGTACACCGAGATCAGTTATTGAGCTGAACAGCTGATCTCTTAAGCATGAGATGTGATGCTTGGTCACCATCAACAGCTGTAAAAGGGGTCTGACAAAGGGGAGGGTTTGGCTCCATATGAGAAAGGGAGGCAAAATACATTCAAGAAATTTCAAGCTTTTACCCAAGCTGTTTTCTCCTTCCTTGCTGGGATCACAGCCAAACCCAGGGTGAGGACACAAGGGATGGCAAGCTACAGCCCAGTAAAGGTCAGTTCCAGGGGTACAGCGACACCCACATCCCCCTCACTCTTAGTGAAGTACACTCAGTATACTTGTACACTTAGTGTACTTGAGAAGGGCCACAGCAAAACCTGATTTGGCCAGACTCCATGCCCTACTCTGTAGCCCCCCCTGCCACCTCCACCCTCCACTCCAGTTCTAGACCCCAGTAAGAGACAGCAGCAAAGAGCAGCTCCAAGACGCTGCCCACAAGACACGGTCCACCCCTCTCTTGCCTACTCAGCAGCACCCCCTTGAGTGAGAAAAGCTCTTGACATGTCCTCATCTTCGAGGGCTCAAAGGCTATTTTCACCTTGATGAGACCAAAAGCAAAACCAGGTTATTTCCAGCCCACGCTCACACTTTATTATATACAGCGACACGGTGAGTGTAAGAACATCAACATGGGACAGGGACAGTGAGAGAGGCCCAAAGGCACTGCCTCCTGTTCCCTTGGTGCAACCAGTCAGCATACTTAATACAAATAATACAATATTTGAACAATAAATAAGTTTAATAAATAAGACCAAGAAATAAATTAAATAAAAAAAAGTAAAAAGACAAAGCAGCAAGGAATGGTTTTGAGGGCTGTGACACATCCACAGCAGTGACAATACCACCACCATCTCACTTGCACACCAGCAGCTGCAGCACAGACCCCCATCAGCCCTTTTCTCTCACTGTACTACAACAAAATCCAGCTGAGGAGGGGGAACTGAGGACAGTTCACTACTTTTGTGCTGTTGGGGTCTAGGAGCCCTCTCTCCTTCACAAGCCTCTTCAGAAAAGGTGCTTGAAAAACCAGGTATAACTGCAGACCCGCTGTGCACAATCACAGCTTGTCTGTTTGGCACAAAAGAAACCCTCAACCAGTCTTTTCCCTTTCGATAGTCCCTCAGACAGACACTGGCACAGTTATTAACTGAGTTAGGGCAGGGGGACAGTGGAGGAGATCTCTCTAAGGAACAGGGGAGAGAGGAGATGAGGCAATGCTCCCTTTCACTCATGGGAGGCGCAGATGCTTTCATTCATTGCTCCAGCACACTCCTTCCACATGCCCTGGCACCAATGGAGACCTGGTGGGTGACATCCCTGGCAAGGAGGGGGTTACTACAAGGACCTCAAGGATGCAGCTCAGAAGTTAAAGAGTTATGAGCGAAGGGACAGCAGTAAAAGGCTGCCACTAGTTACCTAAGAGAAAAATAATAAGACAACCAGTCCCTAACGCCTGCAGGGGGTGAGGCCACACAGACACATTGATGTGACCCCCCTGTTGGCCTCAAGGCCTCCAGCCTTCTCCCAGAGACACTGGTAGCCGGCATATGAGGAAGAGAGAAACTCTGTCCATCACAGATAGCTATCAGCAGAAAGGAGACTTGAACCCTGCTCCCTCCTGCCAACCCCCCCATTTTGCCCCCAAAGAAGGGCATTGGAATGTGAAGAAACCAGGAATTGAGGGAATAGGGCAGTGACAGTGAAATGGGAACAGATGGAGATCTGAGATGTGGAACCTGACCCCTCTGCCCTCACACGTACAGACTGCTACTCATCCAGACCTGGTATCAAGTCTGCAATGCTGTCCACATAGTAATTGGGCACCATATCCTTGGCGGCGGCGCTGTCACTGGCCATGTAGGCCTGCGCCTCTTCCAGGCGGGAGACTCCCGTCAGGGTGAGGATGGTGGAGAGGCCGCAGTTCTTGCCAAAGAGGATGTCTGTCTCCAGACGATCTCCCACCATGAGGGTGCGGGACGGGTCGACGCCGAAACGCTCCACGATGCAATCAAACATGTACGTGTTCGGTTTCCCCACCACCAGTGCCTTGCGGCCTGAAGCAGTTTCCACTGCGGCTGTGAGGCTGCCAGTCCCTGGAGAGAAGAAGGAGGAGAAAGAGAAGTAGCCACGGGCTAACCAGCTGCGGGAAGCTCCGCACCCAGGGTCCCACCAGAGGACAAGGGATGCTGACAGGGATGCATGTGGGCATCTTGATGCTTAAGGAACCGTCTCGACCATGCCTGGGGCGGTGAACCCCAACCCAGGCCAACCCCGCACCCCCCGGGGCAGCA